CTACTCATTTAGGGGAGACTCAAATACAATGACAATCCTTTATTTATAGCTCATAGTTCTCAACTCAAGCATTACACACCTTTATAGCTGCAAAATCACCATGATAGCTGACTTATATTTGAGGGCACAACTCAACACAGAACTTGTTATCATGTATAGGATTAGGCTGTCAGCATAGCATTTATATCATGAAGCATACTCTATAGCACACTCCATATTATATATATAGTCCTAGACATTACACATATGCAAGTTCCAGCAGGTGGAACTCAAGGTGAGGTGTCACCACTTTGCCCAAGTCCAGCAGTGATGGATATATATAATACTTGTGGGGAGGATCTATATAAGCTCTGGTGGTGCAATGGCATAGAGCACCACCTCGGAACAGGTGTCATATAAAGGTGAGGTTGAGGGTTCAAGACTGGCTGAGGACATTTTTTTCATATATTTTTCCAGCACTTTAAATGCATCTGGGGCTCATAAATAGATGATTTTGAGGTCATAGAAAGCATCTCTACACCAGTCAGAAATCATAGACCCACTCTATCCACTACTATCAACGTCTACTATAGCACTATTTCCATCTACTATAGTGCTACTTTGCACGAATTTGCATTGATAGTGCAAAATAGTGCAATTATTTTTGGGGACCTCTCGATTTTGCGCTATTTTTCACTATCCAACTACTGTGTCTATTAAGAGCTAATTTGTACTAAATAGGTGTAATTCGCAAAGGTGGTTTTTACAGATGATCCCCCCTCAACTCTCCACAACGGCTGGCACCAAACACAGGTAAATATACGGAGCCCGGCGAGCGAGCGCTCGAAATCATCCCCATTCAGTAGGCGTCCCCCCGGGGCGGCAAGGATTTTCATTTAATGTACCCTGCATCGATGACGCTAATGCTTACCATATTGAGTTATCATCTTACGACGCTTGTCCGTCAGCTATCAGATCCTCTGTCACTACACTATGGATCCTGTTCATGCACAACTGCTGCAGGCTGCTCTGAAACAACTCTGTGCTTCTTGTATCTCAATATCTGACCTTGTACTATTTGTGCTCAATCAATACCATGACCCTACCCATCCTGTTCTCCGTGACCTTGTCGAAAATGCCGCCAGCATCGCGGCTGCACTATACTACCACCCAGCGACCTCCCGGTCAATTGTCGCGGCGACTAGGCGCGTAGACTCAGGTCAACGTTCGGCGACGACCCTGTAGGCGAGCGGCAAGGAGCCGAAAGGGGAAAGAGAGAGGGAGAGGGATAAACGTGACAGAAAACTCGACGAGGGTAGAGCGAAGGTCGGCACAAAGGCACGAGACCTACGAAAGCTAGTCTTCATGCAGACAGCGACAGACTAGTCCCAATGACCAAGAGGTCGAGATGGGGACTAGGGAGCGCCTAGGGGGGTCCTTATATACTAGAGGGGCTGCTTAGCAACCAAGGACAAGGCGCGAGAGCGAGGCAGTGAAGATGACAAAGGGGGAACAAAGGGCGAGAAAGAAAAGGCAAGGGCATGGCGATCACGGGAACGTAGCATGCGGGTGTGGGAACGTATCTACAGTGTCCAAACTGGGATGAGCTAGGAAAGGAAACGGTCCGGAAATGGAAGGTGGGCGTCAAAGGGAATGGAATGGGCGGCAAAAAGGGGCGTCTGTCCAACGTCCGTGACATTACCCCCCTCCTAAGGTCCGTCGGTCCCCGATGGACCCGAGGCCGGGGCGCCGTCCGGAGGCCCATTCGAGGTCGGAGGGTGTGGCAGTGGTGAAGTTGACGAGGGGTTGCCAGGGAAGAGATTGAAAGATGGCAGCTGCAATTCGACGTGGGGCAGTGGGGTTCCGCTCGTGGAATTCGTCGATGAGCTCTTGGCAATGAGTGAGGTCCTTTGCCGGCTCCCAGCTGTTCTGGCCTTCGTCGTAGCCCTTCCACTTGACCAGGTATTGGAACTGATTGCGGTAGGTGCGGCTGTCCTCAATCTTTTCGACTTCGTATTCGAGTTCGCCTTCGACTTCGACTGGTTCTGGTGGGGGTGGGAGTATGCCGTTGACATCGTTGCCTGTCCAGGGTGTGAGGCGATCCACATGGATGACGGCATGTCGGTTCTGCATAGAGGGGGGAGTTGAAGTCGATACGTGAGTTCACCTGTGCGTTCCAACACCTCGTACGGCCCAAGTCGTCGGGGTCCGAGCTTGCGCTGGCCTGATGGATGGTGACGTCCCGTGCATCCA